AAAGTTGTAGGAAGGCATAATGATGTCTCAAAAATTGTCAACATGTTGTCTGAAAAGAGGAGTCAATATTGCCTTGCTGGCATTACGATGGTAGGCATGGGGGGAAATAGGAAAGACAACACTAGCAAAATCAATATGTGAAAAGGTAAAAGAACAAAAGAGTTATGATCAGGTGGCTTGTTTGTGTGTATCTGAAAATTTTGATGAACAAATAATTTTTCAACAATTGTTTGAATATTTTGATGTAAGTGCCAGTCAATTGAGTAATTATGATGCACTTCTTCAAAAGCTTGAGAAGGAGTTAGAGAAGAAAATTTTTCTTCTTGTTCTGGATGATGTGTGGAATGATGATAGAGACAAGTGGAATAGTTTTAGTTCTCATTTGTTAAAAATTTTAAAAACCACTGGCAACTCCATTCTTGTGACAACTCGCAGTGATAAGGTAGCATCTATAATATCAGAGACACTTCCCATACAGCAGCATGACATGGTAAAGCTAACAGATGATGAATGTTGGTTGATAATTAAGGACATAGTTCTCAGATCATCCACAGAAACTTCATTATCTTTGAATTTAGAAGGCACTGGAATGAAAATTGCCAAAAAAATGTGGAGGGCTACCATTAGTTGCAAGTGTCATTAGAGGAACATTGGGTCGTGAAGTGAGGGAAGATAAGTGGCAAGAGAACCTGCATATCCTAGATGATAAAGCATGGATTTTGCAAGATGAAAATAAAAAGATTTTATCAATACTAAAATTAAGTTTTGATGATTTGTCTTCACCTTTGAAAAAATGCTTCTCTTATTGTTCAATTTTTCCAAAAGATTTTGTCATTGAAAAAGATGATTTAATTCAACTCTGGATGGGTCAGGGATTTCTTTTCAAATCAGAGGATAGCCTTAAGCCAATGGAAGATATAGGCAATGGCTACTTCAATGAGTTGTTGTCCAATTCTCTATTTCAAGATGTTAAATGGGATTTGTACGGGAACATTGAATCTTGCAAAATGCATGATCTAGTGCATGATCTTGCACTGCTTGTTTCAAAAGGTGAAACCTTGATTTGGGATACTAGTTGCAACATTGATGACCAAAATTTTAGTACTATTCAACATTTAAGAGTCCAGTCTAATGGAAAGGATCTTCCAACCATTCCAAAGAGTATTGCTCAAAGGTTGCATTCTTTGTTTTCGGAGGTTGGTGTCTTTTGCAGCATGGCATCAAATCTTAAAAGCTTGAGATCTTTAAAATTAATAGGAGATGGGAAAACGAAGTTGCCAGCTTCCTTCGGCAAATTGAACCATTGGAGGTACCTTGACATCTCAGGAACTTATGTCAGAACAGTACCAAAATCCTTCTCCAAGCTCTATAATCTGCAGACTACAAAATTTATCAACTGCTATAATCTTGAAAAGCTTCCCAATGGCATCGCAAATCTCATCAGCTTGACGCATATCTATTCTAGTGATCTAAGGTATATATCTAATATGCACTTAACTTCCCTTCGAACATTATCACAATTTGTTGTGAGCACAAAAAAGGGACGTCGGATTGAAGACCTTGGATGCTTAAGCCAACTTGGAGGAAAACTAGTGATTTCGAAGCTTGAACATGTAAGATCAGAATTAGAAGCCTCTAAAGCAAACCTGAAAGAAAAGACAAAATTGCAACAATTGGTATTAAGGTGGAGTAGTAGAGATGGAAAAGAAGTCAACAACAACAACGATGAAGAGGTTCTAAAAAGCCTTCAACCTCATTCAACTTTGAAAAGCCTCACTATTGATTGTTACATAGGAAAGAGGTTCCCATCTTGGATGGTGAGTGGCATCAATAGTTCTAGTTCTTCATTCCTTCTCGACAACATGGTGCAGTTGAAGTTAATCAATTGCCATGAATGCCCGTGTATTCCAAGTTTGGGACTATTGCCTAGTCTCAAGGTTCTTTATATTGAAGGAATGAAAAATGTCAAAAGAAAGGGTCACAAGCATCAAGTGGATGGGGAAGAATCAATCAGATTGTTCCCAGCTTTGAAGACACTCACCGTGAGTAGAATGGAAAGGCTAGAGGAATGGGTTGAAGTTGAGGAATGGGATTCAGTTGTTGAGGATGCAGCTGCAGAGAGCCAAGGTGTGATCGTGCTTCCTTGCCTTGAGGAGTTGCTGATTTCTAGTTGTCCTTTGTTGAAGACTTGGTCGATGGGTGGATTTTCATCTCATCACAAGCTCTCCAACCTGCGGATAGAACAGTGTTTGAATCTGAAGGCTATCCCTGGTTTAGATGGGCTCTCAGCTCTTAAAAAATTAGATCTCGAGCGGTGTCTTGGATTAACAAGTCTACCAATTGGGCTTGGATCTTGCATCTCTCTGTTGTTGCAAATTGGAGGTTGCCAAAATTTGAACTCCATTCCAAGTATAAATGGGCTCACATCTCTTGAAAGACTCAACCTTTTAAATTGCGATGGATTAACGTGTCTTCCAATTGGGTTGGACTCTTGCTATTCTCTTCAGCAGTTGGGAATTGGAAGTTGCTCTAATTTAATTTCCATTTTTGACAATATCGGTAAATTGTGTTCTCTCAGTATTCTTAGAATCGCACGTTGCGAGGGGCATTCAAAGTGGACTGGGATACTGCAGTTCTCTTCTCTTCAGCAGTTGGAAATTAGAAGTTGCACTAATTTAATTTCCATCACTGAAGATATCAGGAAATTGCATTCTCTCAGTATTCTTGCAATCAGATATTGCGAAAATCTAAGGAGCATTCCAGGGGAATGGCTACATAGCCTCATCCGCTTGAAGGAGTTAAGCCTTGGTCCTTTCTGGTCGGAGTTAGAGGAATTCCCAGGATTGACCTCCATTCATCAATTCCACGCCTCTCTTGAAGTATTGTTCTTGTTCGGATGGGATAAACCAACATCTCTGCCACATCAGCTTCGACATCTCACTGCCCTTAAGCAATTGAGGTTAGAGGACTTCAATGGACAGGAAGCTTTGCCAGAGTGGTTGGGAGACTTCTCTTCTCTTCACAAGTTGGAGATTGTGCGTTGCTCTAATTTGAATCATCTGCCTTCTATTGAAGCCATGCGACGCCCCTCCAACTTACAATATTGTCGCCTTTTGGATTGTCCGAAATTGAAGAAAAGATGCAACAAAAAGAGGGGCCCCGAATGGTCAAAGATCTTGCACATTCCCAATATCAGAATCCATGACAAGGACGTGCAGGGCGAATACAAATATTCCAGTGGTATGTTTAATTTCTGGAACCCTAATCCCTTCATTCCACATCATTTAAGTATTGCACTAATCAGAAATTTAACGACTGTAAAACCTTTCTTTTTAATCCTTTACTTTGGAAAAAAAACACGTCCTCTCCTCTAAAACATATTATGTTATTAATATAATCAAGTTGTAGTCTTTGACCAAATTTCGGTGATTCATGCAGATTTTTGGATCTAAATATTTATGCGCATCTGCTCAGGCCTCAGGGTTCATCTAAAGCTAGTGAGTTCCTGAATTCCTTTCTACAACCCTTCTGTTCATTTTTATTTTCATTCCAATTCCATAGCTATGTTTTTTTACCAATAGGTCCTTTGTTACTTTCATAATTCTTAGGCATCAATCATTCGAGTAGCCATGGCCTAATTGTGAACTAATGCAAAATCAAATGCTTAGATTAGCCAACTGTAAATTTCTAATGGAGTAGAAGACTAGCAAGACTAACAATCAAAAGCTATCATTTTTGGGGTCTGCTTTCTTTTCTCCATGATCCAAGTTTTTAGTTTTTGAGTATGATTTGTTTTATTCTTTTGTGTATTTCTTTGTTCAATTCAGTTTTGTTCAACCATGTTCATTAAACTAATTACAGGCAATCTAATTTTCTTGCTCTAAAACCGAAAAAATATCATGATGACTGGAGGGAATTTTCACACTGGGGACCCAATCAGATGAGTAGTCCTCTCTTTGAGTTGTTGAGGCTCATAAACAGATTTAGCTATTCTACAGACATGTAGTTTTTGAATTATGACCACAATTTGAGGTGCAAGTTTACTGGTTTATAGACATCTGTCTTGCCGATCAAAGTCTTGAGCTGTCTCAGATTGACAGTTTAAGTGGACTGCCTTGCAAAGGTGGGTTGTAAAACTAAAAATCATCTTTTAATTAAGATTTGATTTGATTTTGGTAGGATTTGACTTCATTTTAGTGATTATGATTCACCAATAAAAGTTAAACAACAAAATAGCTTCTTTACTTGGTTAAGGAATGATCTGTAGAAATCTATATTGCCATATTTTCAATAATGGTTGTTGAAATTTCCTCAGGGTTACCATGCCAAATGCCTGATCTGTTGTGCAAACTGAATTGTTGATTCTTCTGTGGCTCTCTTGTCAGTGCCAAAACCAGAGTTCCTCTAGGTTTGTCTTGTTATTTTGAAGCCATATGTGCCCTTAATCGATTCATAGATTTGATGAGTTTAATTTCATGTTAAGTCAAAACTTTAAGCAAAGAATTCATTCCATTTCAGGTTAGAGATTATGGTGTTTTTGCACTCGCTACTTTGCTAACTGTTAATGGTCAAATATGGAGTCTGGACTCCTTACGACTTGTGAACTGCAACACTTTGAGAACATGCTTTTCCCATTGACAAGAGCACTGCAAGTTCACGAGTATAGATGATGGTGGTAGTCCTTTCGGTTTTTCTTGGATTGTACAGATCCTGGTGCCATAGATTCTGTGTGCACACATTTTGCAGTAGTGAGGAGAGCATTGAATTTTACTTGGAATTAACCAACAAATCAACTCTTCTACCATTTCGCAGGCTCTTGTGGTTTTATGGTAAAATGGCTTTTCAAACCTTTTTCTTTGAATCTAAAACATATTATACCTGGTTTGAATAAATTCTCCGTACAACTTTGACTTTGATGATGTAATAATGGACATTCAATCAACAAATGGAGTGAAGAGAAACTGACAATGAGATCCCTGTGCACCAAGTGATTACTCGTAGGATGGTCTCAATAGCATCAATGTGGTTATGATAGAGTTATAACTTTGTAAGTTTTCCCCTTTAAAAGGCATCCCAATATTTTCATCTTGCTTTGTAGATGTAATTGATGGAAATGAGAAAAAGGCCAACAATCAGCATCTAGGAATCAATGATATTGAACAGCCTGAGATGTTTTGTTTCAGGGTTTTATCAAACAATGGCTTAATCAGAGAAGTGCAAAACTTCTGTCTCAGCTAGTCTCATTGAAGAAAATGTAAGTGCGAAGGGTTCATTTCTTCTTTTCCCAATTTCTTTTATTTGGTTATACTTATAAATGAAATGGACTCTTAGTCAAAGAAAGATTATGATGACAGACACTGAAGGCACAAATTGGATAAAATGAACTCTCTTTTGTTCTTATTTACTTTTGCTTTGTCCTCTTAACTTTATAATACATCTGTTCTCAATAGATTACTTATAAATTGATAAGTTTGGGTTTGCAGGTTAAATCAAAGTTTAGCTTGTTAGCAATTCTATTTTAGTGGGAGCTTCTAATATATTCCTTGTTTTCTTACTCTGCTAATATCTAGGAGATGGGGAATGCAATGAAAACAGAATGATTGGAGCTGGAATTCAGGATATTTCAGTGTTCATCAAAGCTGGTAAGTCCTTGTCCTCCAAAGTCTCTCCTTTCTTTACACTAATTACATTTTCTTCAGGTTGCTTTGTTCTTAACTTACTTTGTTTCATTCTTATTTCTGATATATTTCGTCTTGCTTCTCATACCACTACCAGAAAAACATTTTTGAGAATGCATGTAGCAGTTTCATTTTGATTCATGTCTTGAAAAAGATGCAACAAGATTATATGCTTCACTTTCTAAAATGCGAGGAGCAGTTGGAGATAGAGAATGTGAACAAGAAAAGAAAAAAAATACACCAAAAGAAAAGGTGGTGATTATGAAGCAGAAATTAAACTGTGTTGATTACATTTCATTTATTTTGCTTTGCTTCATTTCTAAAGAATAAAATGAACCCTTGTTCCTTCAGTGCCTCTGTTCTTTGTCTTGGAAAAGCTATGGCGGAAATTCACTAAGGCTCATAAAGTGTCTTCAAGCAGATGTGTTTCATTATCCGAACCTGTACCTGTTTCATTCTCGTTTGTTCTCAATTTTCTTCTTGTATTACTTGTTTTCTCTTTCTTTGTGCTGTTAGTTGATTATTTGAAGATGATTTTGTAACACTAAATTGATATAGTGGAATTTTTTTTTAATGGATCAGAGGTCCCGTGGCTCTTACTCTCTTCTATTCGAGGAGGTTTTCCATGCAAAAAATTGTGCGTCTCTTATGCTTGGTTGTTTGCTTTAGCCATTCTCATTTGTCTACATATTCAGTTGCTGTCATATAAATTGTTGTAGCCAAGTTTGCGTTCTTTTTTTTATTCTTTCTTCCTCTGCAGTGATTTGTTGATCTGCAAAAGGAACTGATCTCATAAACCTTTCAAGTTTCACCTGCCATCTTGAGTCACATTTCGAAATATAGGTCTAATAACAATATTCATTATTTTCCGAACAAAGCCTGTAGGGAGTTTTGTCTAGCATTCCCTGATCTGAGATTCTGCCTTACAGGCAAAATAGAAAATACCGCGCCAAATATATATATATATATATATATATATATGTATATATTTGTGTAAAATAATTCATACATGTACATATAAGGTGGATTAAGTTGAACTCAAGACTTTTAAGTTACCAAGCTCCTATACATAAAAGATTGATATATCTGATCTGTTTTTTTCTTAATTAATCAAGTTCTTAAGCATAGAAGTTATTCCACTTCAGGTTAGAGATTCTAGTGTTTTTGCAGTTGTATTCTGCTGACTATTTACGATCAAATATGGAGACCTTACTTCTTCTGGCCCTCCAACATTTTAAGAACTTGCTTTCCTATTGACGGCAGTCATAACATTTGTTATCAGTCAGGATCTCCTGTCATAAACACTGCAGCTAACTAGCATAAATGTTGGCCTATCTTTTGGTTTTTATTGGGAACCTACAGAACTGCACACGCTTTTGAAGAGGTTGAAGAGCTAGCTCTCCTTGTGTGGTCCATTTTTTCTAGAATGCTAATTTACCAGAACCATATATTATATATAGTTTTAAAGCCGACCAATCAATCTTTCCACCGAGTCTTGTTGCTGTTGTGGTTTTAAGGGAGAAGATTTCTTGCAATTACCAACAAACCAAGAAGATGGTATGACTTTTGAAACCTTTCTTTCTCTGAACTCTAAAACATATGATACATGGTTCTCAATATAGGTGGTTTTCAATAAAATACCTATGCCACTAATACTTATTTGATGCAATACTGTACATCAAATGAAATCAATATGTGGAGTGAAGAGAAACTGGCAACGACTCTCTGTGCACCTAACAAATATTCACTCATGAGACACAGCCAGCCTTAATAGCTTTTATTTGGTTAAGATCCTCATAGCTAGGAGGCGATGAAGAATGCCATGAAGATGGGATGATTGGAACTGGAATTCAGTATTTTTCTGCACAAAATTTTACAGTGCTCATCAAATCTGACGAACCCTCGAGTACTCTCTTTTCTGTGCACTAATTACATTTCTTCAAGTTGCTTTGCTCTTTAACTTATTTTGTTTTCATTCTTGTTTCTTACATATTTCAACAAGCTTCTCATACCCAGAAAACATATCTGGTCTGAACATGATTATATGCATCACTGTCTTAAGATACAACCAACAGTTGAGATGAAGAATGTGAAGGTGATGAAAAGAAACTAATAATCAAGACTTTCAGCTCTCTATTTTTGGTGTGGCGATGTGGGACACACATACACAACCAAACAAGGGAAAAATACACCAAAAAGAAAAGGTAGTGATTATGAAGCACAAATTAAATTGTGTTGATTGCATTCCATTTAATTTGCTTTGCTTTAATTGTGAAGAATAAACTGAACCCTTGGTTTTTCAGTGCCTCTGTTCGCTTTTTTGGGAAAGCTATGGCAGAAATTCACTCAGGCTCATAATGTGTCTTCAAACAGATGCTCTAATATATGTTTCATTAATTCTCAACTGGAGAAATAGAGATGAAAAAATGATTGAGTAATTATGCCTTTGTATGTGATGGTAGTTGTACAATATTTTTACCTTCATTTATAACATCTTTGAAGAAAAATCTCATTAGTTTACTTGTCTTTATTTATCATACAAGTGGCCCTCACCCCGCTTCGCCGAGTGCTGATAATTCAATTGGGCAACTTATTTTGAGTACTGGTAATGTGCTCGGTAGTCGTAGTCAAGTATTGGACAATGTTTTACCACATAGATAGGATTTATTCTTTTGGTTAATAGGAAATTGGAACAGCAAAACTAAAATTGATTAAAACTTTAAAAATAAATTAGGTATCATATATGGTTGAATTATCATGAGAAAATGCTAGAAGTATTGTAATATACAAAGTGCAAATTCCAGCATGACAAATATAAGATGGAAACCAAGCAGAAAATATTTTAAAATTTTCAAAATAGCTACAATGGTTTTTTATCCCAAAATGATTTTGAAATGCACAGCACTCTGAGGGCTCCCCCATAATTGCAGCACTGAATAAAAAGCCAAACGGTAGCATAAGAAGGTCAAGCATACCCAGCATATACTTAGCTTGCCAGTAATCTTTATCATTCTAGCTATACAGCTTTATGAAAGACAGTGGTGTTCAGCGTTGAAGAACAAACAATCAATGATGAAATATTACAGAAAAGGCTTTCTCAAACAAAAAACCAATTCTCTGTCATGATAGGTAAACTACATCTACACAACACCACAAAAGAGGCTTTTCTATGTACGAAAATAAAATGACACCGGTAATGCAGTGGGCTGCTGGTATTTATAGCAATGGTAGTTATTTGTCCAGTCCTCATCTTTCACTCAAAAAAGCAGTGTTTTGGCCTAAAAAATTCCTTCCACCAATTTCCTCTACTAAAAGGAATTAGAACAAAGAATACAATGTATGATATTCCTTTCCTGGAACAAAGATTATTGAATTCCTCCTTCATATTTCAATTAAATAATAAAATTTTACAAATTAATTAGAATTCCAAATCTTCGGCATCTATGTTGGATTGTCATTCAACTATCAATCCATACTCCAGTATGGAGGAATCTACTTGTTTATTGACAAATATTTATTAAAAAAGTTTAAATATGCTAATACTTTTATTTAACTACAATTGATACACTGAAATATTACCTTCTAAAATCCATTTCAGATGCCCAAGCTAGCTCCTTTATTGCTCAGGGACAACATTAACATTGGTGAAAATGGTTGAAAGCAGCAACAAATCAAGAAATTCAGATTTTGGCCGCCATGCTTCATAGGAATTAGTGTCTGATTCCATTAAACATGATTTCAGCGACTCTCCTCTAAACTTTTTAGACTCAAACACATTTCGCCATCTATAAATCTCAGGGATGGTAGGACATGCAATCATAGATGAAATGAATTTCATGTAAGTAGCAAACCATGGTAGGATAAAACCAAATTTCAAAGTCACAAAACAGACAACATTTAGGAATTTGTTGTTAAACATAACTTGACCCTTATAATTCAGTTTGCATTATTTATTGCATGCTAGTTGTAAGATAAATATTTAACATTGAAAATCATGCAAAGCAAGATAAAGGCATATATGAGTAACTAAAACATTAAAATAATAATAACCTTAAGCAAATTAGCCAAAAGCTCCAGCAGTAAAGGTGTGAGAGTATCTCCCCAACAAAACCTGAGACAGCACAGAAAAATTTAAAGGGGGTTCCTAAACATGAGACATAGAAGTACTGCTTCAATATTCCAACAACTTCAATAGAGAAATCACAACCTCTGCAGGCCTGCAAGTTTGAGATCAACAACAAGAAATGGGAGAAACTCAGTATTTACAACTACATAAATAATAGTGGCTATTGTCTACTAACCACAACTAATTATATTACAAATCTCAGGGTTGTATTGCCTAAACTTTACAATAAGATAGTTAAGATTATTAGAAATCACATTAATTCAGATATCTGAAACTAATGAAAAAAATAGTTGCCTAAAACCCAAAAAAAAAAATCTAAAAAAATAATTAAATTCTTGCTAGCTAAGTAGTTTTGTAGATTAAATATGATATTTGCATATTTAAAGGCTGCAGAACATGGAATTCTAGGCTCTAGTATGTAGTCACAAAATCTGCAAAATCAAATAATATGTATTGATTTGCAAAATAAATACAAATTATTATAAACTTGAAGAAAAATGAGAAACAATCTCTGATTTGGAATGCTGCAATGCACGTGTTTAGGCTTTGAAGAGTAACACGTCTTAGAACAGCACGATCCTCTGATTAACAGCTGAATTTTAGAAAGGCAAGGGCTTAAGCTTGTTCTTCTCCTTCAAGGGATTTTAGACTTGCACTTGAAACTTTTCCTCCTTGACATGGATTTGGAGCTTACCCTTGGCAGGAGGTTGGGGCTGAAGGGCAAGGGCTTAAGCTTGTTCTTGTCCTTCAAGGGATTTAAGACTTGCACTTGAAACTTTTCCTTCTTGACATGGATTTGGAGCTTACCCTTGGCAGGAGGTTGGGGCTTGAAACTTCGAGAATTGTTGAGGGAGCTTGAAGCTTGTTGTTCCTCTCCTTTTCTCCTTCTTCCTTCTTCCTTCTTTCTCTTTTCCTTTCTTTTTTTTTTTTTTTCATCAAATGATGGCCTATTTATAGGCAAAGGAATTTTGCCAAATGACCTCAAATACCCTTTATTTTAAGGATAATTTGATCATTTTAATATATTTATTTATTTATTTTTAAATTAAAGAGAAAATATCTCTTTAAAGATTTATTACCTTAACTTCCAAGGTTTTTACTAGGGTAAATATATTTTAATTTTAACATTTTTTTTAATGCCTACAATGGAACCCTTAGCTTCTTCTTTAGATGATGGTTTGTTTTCTGTCTTGAAACTTGTGACATTAACAGATACTTCCTCATCAGAAAATATCCCTCTGGAAAGTATTCATAAAGAGTAACTGCAGCTCTTTCTTTTGAGTTCATATCTTTCTCAGATAGTGACTTTCTCTTTTTAGGAACTTGTCGAAGTCTTGTTTGTAAATCAGACCTCCTTTTCACTACCTGACGTTGTTCTTGATTTTTTGGTGCAGCTGGCAAAGCTGAAAGAAATGAATGATTTTGTTGGATGGATGGTAGTGTGGGTCTTGAATAACGCCTCCTCCTTTATGATTGAACTGGAATCCACCCATCATCATCATTGTAAAAGGCAGGAAACTCAGAGTTTGAACACCATCCAGTCGGCTTTATCTCTGGATAGATACCATACATGATTTTATGAGGATCTGGGAGTGGCATTCCACTAGATATTGGATTACGGTGTTTTTTGCTCTTACTAATGAAGGTTGACCAACCATCGCCAACCTCATCTTCAGACTCAGATGATGATTCCCAATCTTCAAGATTCACCGTCATAAGGTCATATAAAGAAAGAGAGCCTGGACCTCCAGAAGTAGGCATGCCAGGATAAGCATAGGCTATCTTTTCTTCATCATCTGTTTGAAATTTAACTTGAATTGCCCCCTTGGGCAGGTGGGGACCAAACTCCTTAGGCTGAACCATTAGTGGGGTTGGTTGCACAGGCAAGAGTGGAATTGGACTGAAGGATCCAAAGGAAACCATGGCAACATTGATGGCAGCGGAACCTTCTTCACTTTCTAGTTGTATTTTGCCTTCTTTCTCAAGACAAACTATCAAATCTTTCAACACAAAACACTTACCGATTAGAAGACTCACAATTCGGTGATACTTACAGTATTTTGGATCATTTACTCTCCCAACTTCCTCTGGGCGCTTAGGAGTTCGAAGTTCAATTAGGTTTAGTGCCAACAATTGCTCAAAGATAGTCGGGACTTCAGAGTCTGCAAATGGATACTCCTTTTATTGCAACTCTTTTAATGTAGACTTCTTCTTTTGACCCTGATCCCCAACAATCTTGACACCTTGTTTAGGATTTTGCTTTAGCTTTTGTTGTGAGATCTTCACAAGCGTTGTTGTGACTGCCATAATTTCTTTGGCTTTTGAAGGTTTCACTTCCTTCTTCACATCTTTTCTAGACTCTTTTTTATCACGAGCGTCTGTTGGAAGAAAGTTACCATGCCTAGCAATTTGAATTTCTAGGTCATGGGCACGAGTGGCCAATTCTTCAAAGGTATGTGGCATGTTAGCTTGAAGGTTATACAGTAGTCCCCAATGCATACCTTGCACACACATATCAATAGAAGAGATCTCACTAATCTTTTCTCGACAATTTAGGATGAGATTCCTCCATCTTTCAATGAAGTCTATCATAGACTCATCTTTCTTTTGCTTGGTGTTAGCAAGCTCAAGCAGGCTAACAGTACGCTTGGTATTGTAAAAACGTGTTAAGAATTCCCGCTTTAATTGGTCCCAACTATCCATTGACCTAGCAGGAAGGTTAGTGTACCATTCAAAGGCTGCGTCCTCTAAGGACTGGACAAACTATTTCACCATGAGGTCCCCATAGGTGCCAGCATTGTTGCATGTTTTGACAAAATGGGCGATGTGTTGCCTTGGGTTGCCCTTCCCATTGAACTTTTGGAATTTTGGTGGCTGGTAACTGTCTGGTAGGCTTAGATTATCAATCCTACGAGTATAGGGCTTGACATACACAAGTGAGGATTGTGAGGTCCTTCCTTGTCGAGCTCGAATCACATCATCAACTAAAAGTTTAAGTTGTGGAAATGTAAGAGATGCCACAGTAGCATGAGTAATGTCACGGAAAGCACCTTGGAGAATTGTTCGATCTAGTTGCTCTTGCTTTTGTTGCTCCAAGCTTTCCTCCATAGTGACTTGCTTACCCTGATCTGAAGTCCTTAATGAGTCTTGCTTGTTTTCGAGGGCTTTTTCAACAACTGAGCTTGATGCTGCTTGGTTATTCTATTTTGATAAGTGTTGAGCCGCTAAGAGTTCTTGGAGTTCCTTGATTTGGGCATCCTTTTCAGCCACAACTTTCCTTAAGCCTTCCACAGCCTTAAGGAGAGCATCCGGGTCACCAGATGTCACTTCAGTAACCAAGGCAGGTAAGAGGGACTCAGATGATGATGAAGGATAGTCAGCCCACCTTAACTTCAAAGCAGACACATGACTGGGCTTGAGACTGAGTTCTTCACCTTCACTAGATTCTGAAGAGAAGCACTCGACATCTTTCATGGGCTGGAAAGGCGACTGGATGGCTAATGATCGTTTTTCATTGTAGCCTTCTTACGACGTCTTCTAGTGAATTGCCTCAGGGGGGAGACCAACTTGGATCTCGTCATGCGTGCTTTGGCATGAGTCAGCAAGGAAGATTGATTGGAAAAGATTTGAACTTTTCAAGTTGCAAGAGGAGTTACAGCTTGCTTTGAGTCCGCCATGCCTAGAAAGATATGGTGGAATTTTTCTTCAACTGAAAGTTGAGAGGCAGAGATTTCCCCAGTGGAGTCACCAAAGATGTGTAGTCACAAAATCTGCAAAATCAAATAATATGTATTGATTTGCAAAATAAATACAAATTATTTATAAACTTGAAGAAAAATGGGAAAAAAATCTCTAATTTGGAGTGATGCAGTGCACGTGCTTGGGCTTTGAAGAGTAACATGTCTTAGAACAACACGATCCTCTGATTAATAGTTGAATTTTAGAAGGGCAAGGGTTTAAGCTTGTTCTTGTCCTTCAAGGGATTTAAGACTTGCACTTGAAACTTTTCCTCCTTCACATGGATTTGGAGCTTACCCTTGGCAGAAGGTTGGGGCTTGAAACTTCGAGAATTGTTGAGGGAGCTTGAAGCTTGTTGTTCCTCTCCTTTTCTCCTTCTTCCCTCCCTTTTTTTCTTTTCTTTTTTATCAAATGATGGCCTATTTATAGGCGAAGGAATTTTGCCAAATGACCTCAAATACCCTTCACTTTAAGGATAATTTGATCATTTTAATATATTTATTTACTATTTTTTTTAATTAAAAAAATATCTCTTTAAAGATTTATTACCCTAACTTCCAAGATTTTTACTAGGGTAAATATATTTTAATTTTAATTTTTTTTTTGATGCTTATAAATGCCCCCTCAAAATTCATTTACTTGCATTATTTTTCACAAAAGTAAATTAATTTTTGATGTCCGCTGCTCAAAAGAAATGAGTGAAAATTTAACAAATATCTCCCTTTTTTTATTTTTTAGCCCATTTACGGACTTCTTCTTTTTCTTTTTCTTTTTTTTTGGCCGGACTCTTCTATTCTTTTCCTTCAGAATCCGTTTATGGACCCTCTTGTTCCTTTTTTTTTTTTTTTTTTTTTTTGAGCTCATCCGTTGGTGGAAGTTTATTCAAAACTCAAACTTCCTCTTCTTAGCTATATCTCATCCTTTTATCTGCACATCAATCTTAAATTTGAAATAGGACTTTGAATTTTAAAGAAAAATTCAGATCAACTTCTATCCAAACTCTATCTTGATGCTTCTATAAATTGAGTCTTTTGGGAGAGCAAACGCA